TCTCATAGATTTCGGTGTTGTCCTTTGTCAACTGCCAAGTATTAATAATCATTTACCTCACTATTACAATAAATTGTATGCCCAGCGTAAGCTTTTATTTTCCGATTCTATGCTTTTACTCCCTTGAACAAGGCAAATATCTTTGTCTTGGTGTTATCCTTGAATTCTGGGTTTTTGCCTCTTCGGCGCTATCCCGGCTTCCATCCTTTGATATTAATGTACCTGCCGCCACTTTTTCTCCACACCCTGCAGTTTCAGTTCTTATCTCGCTACGACGAGCCCAACAACCACCATCTTACTAAGGCTTATATTGCAAATTTGAGGGGCGCTTGAGAAACTCTAGAGCCTTCTGATGATGCTTGTTATTAGGGTCAAGAGCAAATCGGTCTTCGTGAGTTTGTCGAATTTCTAGTCGGTTTTGGCTCGGCCAACTCATGCGAATACTTTGTTCTACAACAATAGGAAGGGTTATTCATGGGTTTCCTGGAATTCTTGGAACCAACTTTACTCATCGTCGGCTTTGTTCCCCGTTATTAATTGCAGTATGATCTACTGGTAGTCTCGGAAACCTAATTACAAACGATAAGCAATCCTTGTTGAACTTTGATGTTGAATGAAGTGGCCCTCTTCTGCTTTATTGGCTGTTTCTTGATAAAATGCAAAATAATAATAGATTGCAAATCCGTCTGGAGGTGTATTGTCGCTTAATCTTTCGTAGCGCAAAAGGTGAAAAATCTAAGACGCAAAGCTAAGTACACGATGCCGTTTCTTTCATATGCTCTCGATTAGGCCTTGATAACTTGGATAGTTGGTATACAACAAGACTTGGCTTTCGAAGAATCTTCCTACTCATCATCGCCCATCTGCTTTTGAATTCATCATCGAGTCAGGGGTCCGTCGGTCGGTTCTTCTTGAACATGGCGGTAACTTCGCTCGGTCAGAAAATGTTGGACTCTTCTCAGCAGCCGTTCTTTGGTCTCGGTGCGAACCCGTTGTGCCTTCACATGACATAAATAAGAGGTATTCAATTCTAAACATTGTCCCTTAAGCAACTATGAGCTAGCACAAAGCCTGAATTATAAGCCGGCTCATCATTTCCTATTGCTTATTTTGGTCTGCTTTGAACGTAAAAGGAAATAAAATGTATTTTCTGAGTATGCATAAACCTGCGATTAGGGTCTTATGCGTATGCGCGACTACGGATCATTATTAAGAGAAAAAGAGCATCCCTTTTTGGCTATAAAACTGTTTAACGATGCCTGACCAAATAAGCTCCGTCCACTCCTAAAGTGTTCATCGAGTTTATGGATAATTTTTTTGTGGGTTGGTAACACATGGACCATTTTAGACAACTTATTGTCATTTGGCTCGATTGGGAGTATAATTAGGTCTACACCGGACCTGATTAACTTTAATATTTTACGACTAGTTAAAGCAATTACATGACATTTTAACCGGCCATCATGAAGCCGAAGAAGTGCCTGACATGCCAGCCAAATCCACTCAGCCTCGCACACCGGAAGGCTCTCTCATCGAGACCTCACCGGCGGTTCAGTCTCACCGTGGCCTCAGGCGGGATTCAAGTTGGCTCATGCGTGTGGGACTAGCAACACTGCACCACTCGGTCACTCAGCCGGTGGGTCACAGTACACATGTTTTTGTCATGACTCATCACGATCGTCTGCCATCAAACTTGAAGACACTACTGTAAAGCATTTCAGTACCTCGTCAATTTTTCATGGAGCCCAAAGGTGTTGGCGATAGGCGTTCACCATATCTACGCAGGCGTCCAGATCTGCTGACAAACTGTAAAACGGACTCAACATGTGCGATCACTCCAAATTTGGATTTCGCCACAATTTGTGCCACAAATAGCAGCCTCGAGCTCAGCTGCTTAGTTCAAATCCAACGATACTCTAACCATAATCATAACCACAATCAAAAAGACTCCGCCATCACTGTTACAGGGACTACGAATGCAAGCATAAATAGGGCAGATACAGATAATTTATCTCTCGAAATTGTATTTTTCGGAATAATTATAGCATATAAAACCACGTTAATTGTTCCACTCGATTGGAAAATCTTAATAAATAATTTTTTAATGTACAGTTTTTTCTCAGTTTATTTATTAATATAGCTAAGGATACTTGAAAAGTATTTAAAACCAAAGCTCCACAATTTAGAAATCGGTATCATCTGTTGTTTGACCAATCGCCTGTGCAAGTACCCTTTAAGTATTATGCTGTATATATTGGGATTTTACTTTGATCCACAGGCTGCAATAACGCTATGTTTGATGGTTAAAATATTACTTTTACATTTCCACAAAATCTACCATTTTGATACTTCTGTCCCTAAGTGATTTTTAAACCTTATCAGAGTTATGCAGATTTTCATTTTTATTTTATTGCGTCTACATGTTTTTTCAAAATAATCCCTGTTCCAACATCTTTGCCAATTTTAGAATTACTATCACCATGCTTATGCCTTTTTATTACACATCGCCTCTTTTTTAATCTCCGATATTCACTTTGGCATTCTTCCCTACGTCCATATTTACTAAGGGGATGTTATATGCTTTTTACTAAACTTTATTGTACATCTAGAACTGGATGGTGTTACAGGCATAGATACGCCATGAAGGATAATGATAAATTATGCATCTGAAATCTTTAATAGAAGAAAGGTATTGCATGCGGCCTGATGTCAATTTATAACATGTATTAATGCAAATTTAGCATTATTAGCATTACTAGTCGCGACAGGGTGTAATTAATTGTAGGTATGGTTTATCGAGATATTGTGGCCCTTGTTTTGATCGCAGCTTCATTTCACTGTGTAGAAGTGATTTGACCAAGTTTTCGCTACTCAGTCGTATTGTCAGGGCGATCTGGTTGAACGCACGTGGTCCATGGTCCTCTACCATAGCATCCATGACAATTTACAACATCGGACTATGGATTTGGCACATTCCCAAACGTTTCGCCGGCATCATAGTCAGCATCGTCAATGAGACTTTCCAGTCCCAGCGCTAAGCTACAACTTGTCAAAGAGACTTTCTGTCAAACGGTTGTGTTATTATTCCTGTCCTAGCTCATCGGCCTTCGCCTTATCCTCATTTCTTAGTCTCGGCCTATAAACATTTTTTCCTATTTTTAATTCGACTCCTCAAGAGTTGTGCCCTTTTAATGAGTTGACATACCTGCCTGTTTACCCTGCCCACCCTTCATTTCGGTTTGCCGGAATTGCTGATCCGACATAGACCTCCAATGCGAATTTATATGCTGTTTCTTATCTTTCTTGGTCCTTCCAATACTGGGAATGATCATAACTAATATAGCAAAGAAATTCAGGCGAGGTGCCTTCATCTAGGTCGCCATGACAACACGAAAAATTGCCAAAATGTGCCCAAGCCATTTCTGCTTGCGATTAGTTCAATTTTCGAACAATTATTTATTTAGACTCTACAGTGTTAGTTAATTTTTAATTGCCTTTTTCGTCGGGCAGAAGGCTTCAACTATCAGTCTTACATCATCTTGTACGACCCAAAATGTGTAAGGTTACATGAACTTAATTTGCTTCCTCATTTTACCTCATTTTTATCGTAGTTTATGGAATTGTTTGAGGAATGTTTCCCTTACTGCTCATCCTGTTTTGAAAGACATGTCTTCATCCAACAGTGACTGTCGATCAGGTAGATTTCTAGACATTTCATTGGTATTTATCCTTTTCAAAATAACAAAGACCCAAATCTGTTCTGATTACAAACACAAGCATGTTTGATTTCAAAAAAGTGGACGAATATTTGTGAATGGAGTTGGTGAATTATTCCAATGGCTGATGATTCCCGACTCGAGTAGACCTGATGCAAAATCAGGCTTTATGAAACCGCAAACTAAGAATGCTATTCGAAGATTTGAAGACCAGGATGGTCGCGGTCTCCTTTCGTTGTATAGAAGTTGTTTGACCTTGTTTTCGCAACTTGGTCATAGAAATAGGAAGACATAGAGGAATGCACCTGGTCCGGAGCCCAGGGTATGCATGATTATTTCAAAAGTCAAAACGTAGACTTTATACATT